GTTGATGTTATTTGGAGTTCTATATGTTTCAGTTACCTGAATGTCAAGATTGTTTCCGCATATTTGGGAAGTTTTCTGCTATTACTTCTGCCCATATTGTTTTTATATCATTTGTACTGACTCCTTCCTTCTCATTGATGCCTATTAGTCTCACATTGTTCATCTTTGCATCGTCTTGCAGGTATTGAATTATTTTTTCCTACAACCTAGTTGTTTTTAAGAGATCTTTTCTTATTTTTTCACTAGCTGCAATGATGTCTTTAAGGTCTGAAAGTCTATTCACACTTTCATTAAAATAGTTTTGCCAGCTTGTAATTGAGGTTTTAATTTCCTGTATAGCACATTGAATCTGCTTCATGCATCCTATTTCTTTCCTATATTGCTTATTCAAGGATTCCATCATTTTTATATTCTGTTCTATTTTTTTAACAGTGTCTTCTTTAGAAGCACTTAGTACTTCTTTGATTATAGTTATATTTTTTACTTTAGAAATTATTTCTGATCTGATTTCCTCTATACCATTCTGCAGTTGTTTCTTTACTTCAGATGCTGTTATTTCAGAGATTCCAGGTGTGTGATTTCCAATTTCTTCTATGCTAGTGTCGTCTGCATTTCTTCTGGGTTGACTCAGGGCCTGAGATTATATTTTGGCTCTTCTCTTTGTCATTTTGTACACCACTGTCTTCTGACCTTTGGTGTAGAGCTTTGGTACAGTTATTACCTTAGCACCAGGTCCAGATCTACCAAGTTCAAACTCGTCCAAGTGGGTGTAGCTTGGGTTTGGCTGCTGTGCTCCACTTCTTCCCATAGCAGCCCTTGGAGGTGAACCCTCTGTGCCACTCTGGCAAGATGTTCTGCTCCTGAATGAGCTGGGTGGGTCTTGCCTCTAGCCTCTTTGCTGGGAGTTCTGCTGAAGGGTTCCATGCTGGGCCTGGGTTCTGGGTCAAATGAGGATCCAGCAGGCCCCGGGCAGTCTCACTCACACGTCGGGCCTGAGCTCTGGGTCAAATGAGGATCCAATGTGTCCCAGGCCGTCTAACTCACACGCTGGGCCTGGGCTGTGTGTCTAATCAGGATCCAGCAGGCCATGGGTCGTCTCACTCAGACCTTCAATTTAATTTTTCTTGATCGAGGTCCAAATACTACAATTTCTCATTAAGAAATTGTTTTAAACACTGAACTCACATCTCTGGCCCCATATAACTTTTTTCATTTATTGGATTAATTACTATATTTTTAATTCAGTAAGTATTGGTTGAGCACCAACCGTGGACCATGCTGCTCTTGGCACTAGAGCACCTTCGCAGCAGTGAAGAAAACACTCAAAACCATCCTTACGGATTTAACTGGTATTCTTGCAAGAGTAGGGAGCAAACCGACAATCAATAAATAAAGAACATCAGATATCAGTTGATGACATGAACTATGGAGAAAACAATAAAGAGAAATGAAAGTAGATAGGCAACATGGGACAAAAGAGAGACACACTGAGAGAAAGCATTTACAAAGTAGTTGGGGGTTGTAGTTGATATAATTTTAAATATTATGGTCACAAAGGTTTTACTGGGATGCCAACCTCTGAGCCAAAACAGAGCTGTGATCCATTTGGAATTAGCTAAACCCAGCTTTCCCTTTTGGATACTATCATCTAAAATGAGTCAACAGGGCCAGCGAGATAGCTCAGTGAATTAAGCGCCTGCCTAGGCAAGTGTGGGACCGGGGTTCGAGCCCCAGCACCACATGCTCCCTGCCCCCAAGCACACCTGTAATTCCTGAAACAGGAGGATCACTATGAGTCCAAGCTGCATAGTGAGACCCTGTACCAAATACACAAAATAAATAAATAGATAAAATGGGTCAACAGGTGAATAGTAAAATGATACTGATTTTCCTTATAAGTTATCCTGATCCACAAGCCAAAAATGGAAAAGAAACATTCTAATTATTGGTAATCCTCTGATTCTCACCACTGACATATTTGCCTTTTGAGAAAAAAAGTTTGAATGTTTATTTCATTCCTTTATACCACAAATATTTTAATTTTTTAAAACTCTCTAAATGTAATTCAAATGTGAAAAATTATTTTTAGTCTTAATTGAGTCTAGATTTCATCATGGGCTAAATTTTAAACCATAATATGAGTGCTGAAATTGAATTTTAATCATATAGATGAATCACAACACACATCTTTAGCTAGGCATGTATTATGGATAAGTCTAGTTTTCTACTGAGAATAATCACATGTTCTAATTACCATTTTGGTTATACGCATAATTAATAATATTCTGTCTTAATGGGACACACTGAATCTTCAGACAGTTGCAAGCTTTAACTATGCATATTGCCAGATCCAACTGTCAACTGCACTGCCAACACAAAGGATCCTGACGTAGTGTTTCAGCGCTGATAACAATATGCACATCTTTATACACGATACAATGGAAAAATTAATTGCTTTTCTTCCTTCAAGATTTTCTCCACACTAATTTTGTTGCTTGATTAATCATCTGCCCTAAATCATACATATTGGCAAGTGGTCCTATGAGCAACAGAAACATAAATGTAAACATGATCCAAGATTCAAAGAGAAAAAGATATTGTTACACAAGGACTTACTGACTGTAAACTTTCATTTTCACGTAAGCAAGCTGTGTGCAGCTCCGACTTCAAGGTGGCGATGTGACTTCGATGAGACGTTATTTCCTTCTCTAATGTAGCAATTCGAGCACTTGCAAGCTGGTAGACATCCATGAAACTTTTAATCATAGCCTTAAGAAATAAAAATAATGTCACAGACAATTCAAATAAAGCTGCCCCCAAAGGAGAGTCTCCATAATTTAAAAGCAAAATCATTAAAATTTTAAAATAAACAACTTTTCATCTCTGCTGAAATTAAAAAAGCTAAACCTCACATCTTATACTGAAAATAGTGACTATTTTAAGGAAGTTTGGGAGAAAATAATTGAGACTTCATTCCAGAGTTTATTTAAATAAGATATACTTTGATCTATTGTGCTTAAAATTTAGAATGCAGTTGTAAAAGATGATACACTTATTTTCTGTACCACCTTAAATTCTAGTTGTAATTTGACCTAAATTTCAATCTTAAGAGAGAAGCAACACTTAGCTATTCAAAGGTATTTCAAAAAGAGCTGAGTTAGTAAAATTTCAAATCCTTCTATAAAATAAGCATCTTGAAATCGAACAGAAAAAATAATCCTGTGTCTTTCTAGTAATGATACCTCTATTGAAAGAAACCATAATTGTACTTATTCATTTAACACAAGAATGGCCTCTATTGCACTACCTATGATAAAATAAATGACATAAATAAATGCTGGTAACTATTTCCAAGGGAAAGTAGCAAGGGTGACTGGTGAATCTCTGAAGCAAGTTTAACCAGATCTTATGGATTTCCTCTTCTAAAACAAGCTGCAGTGAATTTTAAGCCCAAGAGATATTATTATGCTTTTTTAAAAAAGTCTTTCAAAATACCTCAAATGTATCAAGTTAAATCCAAACATTTCAAAGACACTTTCACACATAATTTTGTATTCCTTGCAATAAGAAATGTCCCTGCTCCAGTCACAACTCTGCACAATGAATAGTCTTTGTACAACTGTCAAGAATCCTAAATTACATGCAATCTGAAGGCTGAGTTGGGATAGCTTTGAGAAACCAGTTATTAAAACAATTCTAAATACATGAGAAAAAAAATCTCAGAGAACCAAGACTAAGAAGCAGTGTACCAACAAATGAGAAATGTAATTAAATTAATTACTCATAAAAGAAAATTCAGAGCTTTTTACCTACGCAATTCCTATCTTCTCTTAAGAAAACTAAATACCATCTCTATGAAGAATCCTCTTCATAGAAAAAATCAGCACAGTGCTAAGGTCTACTAGCCTAACGTTCTGTGGATCTCTTAGGGTTGCTTTTACTATCACATTTACTCCTTCAGCAGAGAAGTATTTGTTTACCCAAGGATCTTCTCAATTAGGCCAAGAAACTCCTCAAGACTTCTCTTTCATATGGATGATTCTGGCCTACAGTGAGTACTGGTTTGGATGGAAAACTGAATGACTGTTGTGAAGATTGAATTAATAATTAAAAAAATGGAAATGATAAAACAAAATGCTCGTGAATTCTGTCACTCAGTGCTAAGTGAGCAAGCGCGACTTCCTCTGGGGGCATCCCCCAGGTCCTTGCCGCCCTTACTTTAGCTCGTTTCAAGGTAACTTCAAAGCCGATACCAACACAAAGGATTCTGTAGGTCTCAGAAGGATGTAAAAGTTAGAAGCTATTAAGTCATATTTGTTTCTACGTCCAATTTCTCCTTATTCTTAAAAGTTCATTTATCTTCTTCATGGAGGTACTGTAGCAGCAATTCCAAGCCCTATTTTTCATTTTGTTTTTCTGTACAAGGTTGTCCCAAGCACTCAGCTTTATGTGGCTGGGGAATGTCACGTAAGCTCTCAGCATCCCACCTGTTCTGCACACAAGCCAGGAAAGAACATTTTCTTGCCTACTTCCAAAATTGTTGTGAAGCTAAGATAATTAAAAAGCTAATATTTATTAACTATTTATTGTAGTGTGGGAAGCATACAAGGATGCTTTATTTCACTCATTTTTATGGTAATCACAGAGGATAGATAGTATTTTTAACCTAGTTTTTCCAAGTAAAGTATGCAGGCTTTCAGTGGAGTTTTGGAGGTCCTAATAATGATAATTCAATTTCTTCCTTTCCTGTCCTCATTTATTTCTTTCTCTTCTCTGACTGAAAGACTTCTACATTTAATAACCAAATTCAGTAGCATAGCTAGATACAAAGGCAGCACTCAAAAATCAATAGTCTTCCTGTACACAAGCAACAAACTCACTAGGAGAGAAATTAGGGAAACCAGACCCTTCACAATAGAATCCAAAACATGAAATATATAGGAAATCAATCTAACGAACAAGTTCTATATATTGTAAAATACAATATTATAAAGAAGGAGATTGAACAGGATATCAGAAAAAGGAAAGATATGCCTTGCTCATGAGTAGGAAGAACAAATATAGTGAAAATGGCCAGGCTTCTAAAACCGTTATACTGATTTAATGCAATTCCCTCAAAATACCATTAGTCTACCTCACAGAATTAGACAAAACCTTCCTAAAATTCATTTAACCAGAGACCTAAGTAGCAAAGGCAAGCATGGGCAGCAAAGGCAAAGCAGAAGGCATCACAATCCCTGACTTGAAAGTATACTACAAAGCTACTGTGATAAAACTAGTATGGTACTGGCAAAAACCAAAAACCAGACCTGGGATCAGTGGAACCAGATTAGAAGATGCAGAAACAACTACAAACACACTCATCCATCTTATTTTTCACAAAGGGGCCAAACATACTCTCAAAGAAAGACAGCCTCTAATAATCTCTGCTGGAAAAACTGGCTCTTTACATGCTGAAGACTAAAATTAGACTCATGTCTATCACCATGCACTAAACTGAAGTCAAATGGATCAAAGATCTAAATATTAAAATGGTCTAAATCTACTGGAAAAGAAAGTGTGTAGAAGTTTCAAAAACATAGTGGTTGACAGAAAGCTAATGAACAAAACCCAAACACTACGGGAAATACTTCTAAGAATCAACATTTGGATCTTTGACAAAGGGGCTAAACATACTCACTGGAAGAAAGACAGCCTCTTTAACAAATGGTGCTGGAGAAACTGGCT